CAGGGGGCGTGGCGCAATTGGAGTGACTGCCCCAGGCCCCACGCTTCAAGGGGCCCTGCAGAGTAGGGCACAGTGGCCATGGCTACTCTGTGCCATTGCCAGCTTTGTGTCTGGCTGCTCGCTACCCCTCCCCCCGCCGCTGTCAGCGCCTATGGCTTCTTCACATCCTGGGCATGCGGGATTGGGGCAGAGGCGGGGCCCCATATGAGCTAATTTGCCCCAGGCCCTGTCCCCTGCATGGTCAGCTCTGCATGCAGCCCACAGGATCCTGCCCAGCCACTGCTCCCTTCATTTTGCTTTTGACACAGTGGTGGCTTGGGGATTCAAATTCCCCCTTCTGCATCAACTTCCACTTCCTGCACCGACTCCTAGACAGGAAGTGGCACAGTGGGAAGGGGCTGGGCTACTCACACTACATGCGTGATGGGACAGAGGCTTAAGCTATGCTGCACGTGTGGTGCGAACAAGCCAAACTGTCTGTGTTATGCATTTAGGATGGCCATTGTCCCTGTTTTATACCAGACCATCCTGTTTTTAAACCCTTTGTCCCCTGTCCATTTCTCAATGAGGACCGGACTGCAGAAAGTCCTGTTTTTTAATTCATTGGTAGAAATGCAAGTCAATCACTTGTCCTCACGATTCTATTGACTGTGCCTAGACCCAGGTGTTGCACAGCCAGGAAGTGCAGGTTCCCAGCCAGGAAGGGAGGGCGATGGCCTTTTTGTGGTGACCCCCACCCCTTCCTGGTGATTGGCCAAGGGGCCCAGTGGCCCCATCCCTCACCAAGGGGATGTCCTATATTCTGGGGATGTGTCAGTGGTCATCCTAGATGAGTCTGGCCAGGAATGGGGTGAGGCCAGAAGCGGGAGGAAACTGCACATGGGGTAGGGTAAGCCAAGCTGTGTGTGCAAGAGAGGTGGAGGCCACTAGTACTGCAAGTGACCCAAGCAGCTGCATCCCCTCACCTAGTATGCAGCCACCACACAGCCCCCGACCACCAGGAAGTTGGATAGCCCTTACTTACATGACGTGTGTAAACTACTGCATCCTCTCTCATGCAATTCCCAAATTCTGAACAAGGATGAAGACCAATTGATTATACAGTTAGAGATCACACATACTGTAGCAAAAGAAACCATTAGATAGGAATGCTGACTAAAGGATACATTAAAATTGCATGAGTGAGAAAGAATTTACAACCAGCGTGCCTACCTTGTTAATGTGCAGTTGCTGTTGCTGGAACTGCTGTTTGTGTTTCTCCAGAAACTGCTGATGCTGCTGCTGGATCACTAACTGCTGGAGGGCTTGGGCGTTCTGGGGCAGGGGAGCAGACTGCGTGCGCCCCAGCGGGCGGTGCTGCCGGAGCTTGTGAATTGAGGGGGAGACCCGATCTCCACTGACCACTGCATGGAGGGGCAGTGCCCCCAGTCCTGAAAGATACCAGTCTGAAGATAATATGAAGGAAAAAACAGCAGAGAAGAAAAAAGAAAGAAGAAAGGAAGGGAGAAAATGGCTGTTAAGTAACTTTGATGGTGAGAACAATATAGGTATTGTTAAAACCAGCCACCTTGTCATTTATAGCTGAAGTACAAGCCCTTAAAAAAAAAAAAAAAAAAACCGAAAGAAATCAATTAAAATTAAAAAAAAAAAAATTTTTAAAAACAGCCACCCTTTCATTTTTAGATTAAATATTAGTTTTTAAAAAAAAAAAAAAAAACCGAAAGAAATCAATTAAAATTAAAAAAAAAAAAATTTTTAAAAACAGCCACCCTTTCATTTTTAGATTAAATATTAGTTTTTAAAAAAAAAAAAAAAAAACCCAAAGTAATCAATTAACATTAGACAAAAGAACATTTTCAATAATCCCTTGATACATGTTTTTAAAGCTTCCAGGGAGGTTAACAGTGCTGGAGATTAGTAATGAGATGCAGAGCCTTTTATTCCTTGATCACTGGTACTAATTAAAATCAAGTTGGCAAATAGGCATAAAGAGTTTACTTACACAACATAAAAGCATCTCAATCACTTCCTAGCAAGCAAGTGTAATCACAACCTGTATCCGCTGTCATGCTTTCTGGCAGCCTCAGTAGAAATATAAGCAATGGAAGTGTCAGAAGGGTGCCTTCTCGCACCAGGTTAGCCACTGGAGATATTGGGGAAGTCTGGCTTTCTACTGCCCTACCTATTGTGTAAAATAACATGACAACTTCAAGTGCAATAACCCACTACTATCTATTAAGACATTTTCCCATGATAAATAAAGAAAAAAAGTTATATCAGTATTCCCTACACTTGGAATATTGAATACCAAGAATACTGAGGCAATGTTTTATAACCAAGGCAACTGGCAAGTTTAGGTTGCCTGCTGTTTAATATGTTTACTGGATTTGCTTGGACTATTATTGGGTGCTAAGAGTGCTGATAAAATTAAAGAACATTTAACAGGAAATACCATCCTTAAGACTATATACACTTTAGATAAAGGAAGGAATTTAACCCCCACGCCATTCTTTCTACACATTTTTGTTGTATTATTGTTATTCCATTTATCTCCAAAGTGAATGGCATCTTTTGGCTATCCCCAGATACTCCATTAACTAAAAATGTGGTTGTGGGATATGGGTCAATTTTAACTATATGCCCTTCCTAACAATTTCTACAACCCATGTGTCCAAGTTTGTAAGAGACTACTTTGGAATAATGTGATAGTCCACATCCTTGATAAATTCTCTTGAGTGACTGACTAGCACTGAAAGTGTTCTGCACCTGACTCCTCTCTACTGTCTATCCACTGAAAAAGGTATAATTTCTCAGCCCTCTGTAAAACTTACTCTCACAGGACCCATTTATTTTTATAGTAAGCTCTGTATTCTTTTTAAGGTTGCTCAACTGAAGTTTGGTTAAGTCTGATGTCCAAAAAGTTTTAAGAGGATCACAGTAACGAGCTTGTGGGTAGACTTCCATCGTTCACACCAGTATAAGTCTTTATGCCATGAAATTCCTTGCTTTTGGCCTTGCTGAAAATCACTGGGCAGCTACAGAAGCATTGTCTCAGAGTAACACTTCACAGACAGAAGTGCTCACACTACTTATTTGATTTTCTACCTAGGAAACTTAGAAACATAATACCCATTCAATTCTGACAGAAAAAAAAATGTGGCATCTGAGGTGCTCAAGGGAAACCAGGTCTGTTAAACCTTTCTAATGAAAGTCACTTTTGGTAAGAATAATTGCGTCTTGAATGTGAATAAGGCTGCATACACTTCAAGCAAAGACATGTTCTCTGTTCATTTTTTGTGGAGTGAAAAAAGGTAAGAGACTGCTCTTTTGGGCTTTGCAGGGTATTCCCATTCAGTTGTAAGTAGTCAGCAACCAGACAGACAGAGTTAGATGATCCGTTTTGGAATCAAATAGGTAGTTTCTGTATCTTTTAGCTGTACTCTTCCCTGAAGGACTGGTTGGTGAAGGCCATCTCAGTATCAGCTGGAATAGTAGCTGTAAACCACGCCATCCCAGGCTGAGACGGCCAGCTGTACCCAGACAAGATTATGGTGGACAATAAAAAAAACCCAACTCCATTATCAATTAAGCAATTCCCATCAAGAACTGGTGGTAGCCACAGATTGAAGCCTGGGAGTAAAAGCTGTCCAGTACAGGGCAATGCCCTAAAGGAGATGGATTACCATGTGATGATGCAGATGCTGATCATTTAGGCACTCAGAGCATGGAACCCAAGTAATGAGAGTGTCCTGAGAGCCTGCAGGATACCCTGATACTAATCAAAGCTGATGAGATGCTACACGACCTGGACCGACACCAGACGGTCAAGGGACATTGATGCTGAATATATTACATGCCAAATCTGGAGAACTAACTGAGACTCCCTGTCAGATGTAAGAGTGGAGAGATGGACTGAACTGTCCCCACTCCATACCACAGACTTGCCAACACTACTAAAATTGTTTGAGGATTTTCCTGTATGGAAAATCCTCAAACAATTGCAACCCATACTAGAAAGAGACCCTATTCTTAACGAGATCTTCCCAGAGCCACACATCCTAGCCTTCAAACAAGCACCGAATCTTACTAACCTCATCACCAGAAGCAAACTTCCTCAGGCCCAGAACACACCAAATGGATCCAGACCATGCCATGACAAGAAATGCAAAACCTGCCAACATATCTCCATTACCCCCACAATTACTACACCCCACAACAGAGCCATCAGCATTCCCAGATCTTACAACTGCACCTCCAGAAATGTAATACATCTCATCCAGTGCACCAAATGCCCTGATGGAAAATACATAGGAGAGACCAAACAGCAACTGCACACCAGAATGAATGCACACAGAAAATCGGTCAAAGACAGGAATACCCAATAACCTGTGGGGGCACACTTCTCACTAGAAAACCACTCTCTCCCCAATCTCTCAGTCCTGATCCTCAAAGGAAACTTACAGAACGCTTCCCAGAGACGAGCCTATGAACTCCACCTCATCAACCTCCTAGATACTAAAAATCACGGACTAAATATAGACATCGGATTAATGACACATTATAAACCTGCCTGACATTCGACTCCCTAGGTACTTCTCCACTATTCATCCCCCTTCTCTCCCCCGCCCCCCCCAGCCTGTCTCTCACCCATTGATTCCTCAGTCTACATCTTCATTGACTACCTGTCTTGTATGCAGACCAGCCCAGCCTCTGGCTTCTTTACTTTTCATTCCATCCAGGAAGAGCACACACCAACTACTGAAACTTCCTTAGCTTGACGAAGGGTTTTTAAACCTGAAAGCCTGCTTTAAAATTGTTTTCCAACTATTTAAGTTGGTCTAGTAAAAGATATCAGATTCACCCAAAGAACCTTGTCTGCCAACACTACTAATGCTGTTGAATATTCCCCACCCCAGCAATTATACACTGCTGAATCAAGAATTCTTTATAATCTAAGAACTGTGTAAAATTCTTTACAATCCTACAACTCTGTACTAATGCAGTTACATGCATGCAGTTCTGTCTCTTTTTACCATAGCGTTGTAGTGAAATATCCTAACCACTTGCTCTGGGTTAATGTAGGCTGCATGACTAAACCCATGTCTTAGTGTGCATTTATATAAAACAACTATGCAGGGCCAGATCCAAAAGTGTAGCGATGCAGTCACACCACAATTTGTTGCTGCTGTCCCCAGCTGATGTGCGCGCAAAGGAAGCCCCAGAGCAGCTCCTGTCCTGTTCCAGCTGCAGGCTGTGGCTCTACAGGGTCTCAAGCTCGGCAGAGAATAATGGCATGCAGGTTCCTCCTTCCAATGCCTGCTTCCTTCCCAGCCCTTACCTGCAGGTCTGTCCCACTGGCCACAAGCAGATGTTGATGCAGGCATAGGGGAAGAACCAGAGTTCCTCCTGTTCTGCATTGCAGGGAGTGACAGTGTGGGAAGCAGGGCTTAGTTGGGGACAGTAGCAATGTGCAGGTCCCTCCTTCCACTGCCTGCTCCCAACCAGTTGGTAACCTGGGGTGGTGGTGGGGGAAAGAGGGTACGTAGGGGCTGGAAGAAAGAAATTACTTGCTGCGTCTATTGTTTCTGGCTGAGTCCAGCACCCCACACAGCTGCATAGTAAGAGTGACTGGGCCCTGATTCCAGGTCAATTGGGGACAGCAGTGGCAGTGTTAGCAGGGGGCAGGCCACCCCCCCCAACACACACACTTCATGCACCTGATCCATGCCCACTTAACCAGTGTTCCTTGCCAACCCAGCAGCTCCAGCTGTCTTGCCTCCCCACCTGCCATGTGTCACACCCCCACTTTAGGAAATCCTAAATCTATCCATGCAACTGTGTACTTATGTAGCTACCACATGTAGGGTCCTATATTGTCTTCCAATTCTACCAAGCTAGGTAAAAACTATAATTCTAACATTTTCTCAATAAAGCTTTTAAATCTGAAGGAAAGACTACAGAAATTATTGGACAGTCAAGCAGATATACAGAAAACATTTGAAGAGTTTTTAAGATCTCTTCTTATGGGAAGCTTAATCATGTTGTCCTTGCCCACTGCAAGGGAAGGATAAAACTCTCACTTATTTTTTGTATTTTTAGTTTCAGGGTTATGCAAATTTCCCTGATTCCATTTCTTTGAGGCCAGCACCTTTAACAACGGCCTAACTGGACAACACGAGATGAGATAATTTGTGTATGGATACATGAAGTTCCTAGAAGAGCACTTTCCACATAGTGGAAGCTTCCTTAGTTATCCTCTTATGAGGCTTTCAGGGAGGTACATATATACTAGGGAGCCTCATACAGAAAAGCAAAGGAAACGTCCCTGATTAACTTGTGGGAAGAAGGATGACTGATGGTAACTGAGGCTAAGAAAGCCCCCTTTACGAAGTATAATGACATATGTATGTTTAGATTTAAGCATCTTACAGGCACACAGAACAAC